TCCCAATGCCCCCGGAACACTGCGCCCTGGGCTCCCAGTGCCATAACAGCACTGGGGCCTGTGCTCCCAGTGCCACCAGAGCACCAAGGCCCTGTGCTCCCAGTGCCACCAGAACACTGGGCCCTGTGCTCCCAGTGCCACCAGAGCACCAGGGACCTGTGTTCCCTGTGCCACCGAAGCACTGGGGTCCTGCAGCAGCCCCGGGGCTGGGTCCATCGAGCCCTCTCCCCCTGCAGATCCCCGTCCCGGTCCTGCAGATCAGCGCCTCGCAGCACCCCGTCAAAGCTGGCCTCTCCGACGCCTTCACCGTCCTCAACCCCGCTCCCGATGTGCCTGGTGAGTCCCTGCACCCGCGGGGCTGGCGGGGATGCTCCGTCCCTCAGGGGTGCCATGGCCACCCCGGCATCGCAGCAGGGATGGAGGGTGGATGAAGGGGATGGGGCATCCTCAGCTTTGGGAGCCTACAAACCACAGCACTGCTGCTCAGGATGGTCCTTGCATGGTGCGGGACCTGCCTGTGTTGGCAGGACAGGGATGGTTACATACATGTCCACGTGCTTATTACATGTGTGCCGTGAGCTCCCCAAAAAGCCTCTCCCATCCCCTCCTGTCATGGGGAGCCCAACCTCGTTTCTGCCTCCCCGTGCTGCTCCCGGCACGGTTGCTTTTCCTCGTTATTTATGGCGCTGTCATCTGGCCCTCATTTATTGCCCATTTACAAGAGTTTTTGTGAAAAACCTCAGTTGGGCTGGATGGTGCCCTCCCTCCCCATCCCAACTGCTGCCCCACATCCCCATGGGCTGCCCACACCCCCTGCTTGCACCCCCTGCCCACCCCAGGGATGTGAGGGAAAGCAGGGGGAGAAGAAACACAAGAACTGTGCCCAAAAAAACCTAAAGGGTTGAAGAAATAAGGCTTGAAGGGTAGAAGAGGAGGGAGCGTCCATCTAGGAAGTCCATGGTGGTGGATAGGGGGACAGAGAGTCCCAAACGTCTCACAGGGCAGGGAAGAGGTGATCCATGCCCTGCCACCCCCCAGCACCTCCTACAGGGCTCCTCCAGCAGTCCCCGCACCCCAAAACCTGGGCTGGGGGGCAGCCTCATCCCCAGTGTGGGGTGCAGCCCTGCGGTGGTCGGGTTTGCCCCCATTTTACAGCCCGGGCTCCGTGTCGCAGAGTCCCGCCGCCGGACCATCTACGAGTACCACCGCGTGGAGCTGGACACCAGCAAGATCACCAGCATGTCGGCCGTGGAGTTCACCCCCCTGCCCAGTAAGTCGGGGGGATGGCGTGGTTTCGCGGCCGGGAATTAACCATTTCTTGATACTGAGCAGTCTGGGCTTTATTTAACTGCACTACAAA